AATTATTACTTGGGAGCGTACATACAAGAGGTATTAAAAGGTGAGTATATGATAGATCCAAGTTCCCCAGAGCCATTTCCATGGCACAAGCACAGGCATCCCTTAAGCATGCACCTAAGACTTACCCTAGCCAGAGCAAATAGCTCTGGCTGAGATGCAGGAGCTAGCCACCAGCATTCAGGCCCCTGAGGAGACTGGTTCTGCAGTCATGCTCAGGGCAGATACCATACAAAGAAATGACACCAAGCCCCCTCACATAAAATGCAGCCACAGCTGCTTCCAGTTTAAACCATGTGAGCAATCATGTGGGCATGCGTATACAGCAAAATAGTTACTTGAGTTAGTAGGAGATGGCACTTCAGACCAACAGCTCCCAAGAGACAACTCATTTTAACTTTCAGATACCACGACAATTTGTAGTACTCACTAAAAGATACCCACAATTAACAATGTTCTTGCTCAGTCTGGGTCACATCCCCAACTATGGTCTCTGCTTACATGTGAATGGGAGAGACATTTACTCACCAGAGATTGCTATTTATAATTTCATTGAAGGATTTTCACCCAGCACTTGGGTGCAGCAGTGTAACATGCAGTCACATGGGGCTGAGCAGCTGGGTTTGGAGCAGGGCAGGAACTTTCAGAAAGCTCCTCTCATGGCACAGATAAGCAGCTGGTTCCCTTGAGGCTCTGCAGTGGGCTTTGGTAAAGAGCAGCACCTGGCTTTTCCCCAGAAAGCAAGCTCACAGCTCTAACATCGTTCAAATCTAGCTTTTGCAGGATAGGTCCAGAAAATTCTCAAATTATGAATTTTTTTTTTTTAATAATGATAAACTGTTTCTACTTAATTGAGACAGCTGAGTATTATTAGAAGCAATAAGTGTAAAGAAATATTTTAGGATGCAATTATACTTTTTTAATTGGTAGACTATAATTTGAAATCTGAATTCATTACCAGAAAGTTTGCAGGTCATACAAGATTTATGAATCATTTGGGTTTTGTTTTGTTGGGTTTTTTTTGTTTGTTTGTTTGTTTGTTTGTTTTTTCCTTTCTCAGCATACCACATTGATAAAGTTGAGATTAAAGGCTACTATGCATTTAAGCTTACTGAAGAAAAATCCAAGCCCAGATTTGGATTCTTCACCTCAGATTCAAAAGGAAAGCCTTCAATAAAATTTTACAATAACCTGATAAGCAACAACGGTTTTCCTGCCAACTATTCAGTCTGCAATCCCTCCGAACAAGAAAAGCAGTGTAGCTTCTGCATGTTTATTTCTCAGAAGAAGTCATTAATATTCTTCACCTGCTGCCTTTTCTCCACCCTTATCTTGCTTTTAACCATGATTGTTTTTCACAAAAGAAAAAGAAGAAAACGTATTAAGGCAAAAAGCATCCGCTGCCTCTGTGTTTCATTTTAGAAAGGGGGCACAAGCCCACTTGCAGCGAGTTCCACCACCATGTTCTGCAGAGGACGAGGCAGATCAGACAACTGTAGCAAAGCACTATGCGAGTCACTCCAGTCACACCCCCCAGCATTTCCCTCAAAAACAGAAGGGAATCGTATGCACAGGAACAAAAGCTACGATGACATTTGTTTCTGTTGAAACTACTTCTATCCTCCTACTGTATGTACAAGAAGATAAAGTCATCCATTTAAAAAAAAAAAAAAAAAAAAAGAACATTTTATGATTCTCCTGTGCCTCAGAATAATCTTTCAAACAGTTTGACTTGAAAAGCAGTACTACGCTGTGAGGACTGATACGCACTTTTCTGTGAACTTCGGGACCAAAGCATCTTGGGATGTATATTCACGTTATGAATGTTGTTCAGCATGAAACTGCAGTTGCCATGGTTTACAAATAAAAGTGTTATTAAATCCCACAAGCTTGCAACTGAAAGTACAACACCAAGAATGAAATGTCCTGGGCCAGCTTCTGAAGATACATTTAAAATAACAAATCCAAAATAATTAACTCTGTTATCAACCAACACACCTGACATCTCTGACATGCTGGGTGAAGCAGACAGACATTAACATATTAAGCAAATGTAACTGGACCCACAGGAGACAAAGCAAAATAATATACAATATTTCATCTCCCAGATCGGGCAGCTGTAAAAACTTTACTGTAACACCATGTAATAATAATTATTTAACCACTAAAGAGAGTGATAAATATAATTCTAAACTGCACTTTTTCATAGAAATACATATAAGATTATCTTAGTTCTAGTCGAGTGCCATTACGAGGTAGTTACCTCCATCTGGAGGTCCCAAAACAGATAAATGCACTTTACCTGTACCCCAGCTCATCTGGAGAGATGAAGCACATAAACACATTGTCCTTTCCAATTGGATCCAAACACATGAGGTAGCATCAAACACAATCCCAAACTCGCAATACTTGACCAAAGCTTCAATCTCGGTTCTTAAATGCATAACCCAAGGACAACTGGATAGTTATCACTCATGGCAACCATTTCATGACACGGCTCTTCTTGACTTTTTGTGTTGAGGGGTTGCAGACACTTTTGGAAGACCCCTTTAGCTGCACAGCCTGAATGGCACAAGAACCCAGCCTAGGAACAATAAGCAGGCCCCATCTGCAAAGCTGTGCGCCACTGCTTCCCCAGGCTGAGACACTGCTGCCGACCATACACCCCTGCTGAAGGCACCAGACTCCTGCAGGTGGGCACTTCTGGCAGCTCTCTGACTTCCTAGCCACAGCTTTAACCATTTGTTGCTACATATGGCAGAAAATCCTGGGAGAGGACAGAAACAATCTTTTTTCAAACTTGAATGTAACAAGTGACAATATGGATTTTACCATAGCACACAACCCAGTTCAATGGTGCTACATGTCACGATGAGTAACCAAGACAGAGCCATATCCTCAGGTGACATAAACCACTGTTGGTGAAACTCAGCAATAAGCTCTGCCTGAACTCCAAGTCAAGTCCTCAGTTTTCCTGATTGAGCAATAAAGCTAAAGCAACATATTTTCAGACTACTACTACTTCTATCTCTGTATTTAAATAGTCTTACTCCAGTTTTGGCTTTACTGTTTCAGATTCTGTCATCATGTCAAAAGATTAGGGTTGGGCTGTCCACTAGATGAATGACAGATGCTCTCTCTTGACCCCTCCCCCTTCCAAAAGGTAAAGAGAAGGAGTAAGGAAGAGACTTATAGGTTGGAAAACTACAGCAGCTTTAATGAAAATCAAGATAATGGCTTGGGTTGGAAAGGACTCTAGAAAATCATCTAATACAACCTCCCTGTCATGTACAGAGACCTCTCAACTACACTAAACAGTAATAATAAAAGAAGCATATAAAGATATATACAAAACCAGTACCACACCCTCACCTGCAATTATGTCACTGTCACCACTAATGCTGTGTGCAGGCACTGGGGAAGTCCCAGACAGGACCCTGGGACAGATGGGAACCAGATTCAGGAGTTGGATCTGGATTCAAGAACACAGAGATTGAGATTGAACACAGAACAGACAAGAGTCCTCCCTGGACACCACCCACTGAAAAACAGCTTGATACTTCAGATCCGTCAGCTTTATCCTGAATATGACACATATAGGATGGAACACCTTGTGGGTCAGGTTATGGTCACCTGTCTTGTCTGCTCCCCCCGAAGAGTGGAGCCTTTTACTTTCTGCACTCCTGAGGCTTCCAAACCATCAGGCTCCATTAAAGTCTGAATGTTCTCAGAGACTGGTAAAGCAACAGACAGTGCCAACATTATTGTCACAGGGTAACGTACAATCTGCTTCTCAATCTGCTTCTCCAAAGCCCTTCAACAGGTTCACACAATCATAACTTAGATCTTAAAAAAAAAAGAGGCCAAGATATGAAATACGGTTTATTTTATTAAACCGCTTATGGTGTTCAGGTTTTGCATCAGATTCTTCAAGCCGGTAGTTGCTGACATAATGGTGGTTTGTTCCAGAATCCAGACAACTGTAAAAAAAAAAAAAATAATTAAGAGCTTTTAGAAAGATTTTAGCACTGAAAACATCTTATAGACATGTGATGGGTTAATTTATCTGATTCTTTTAAAGTAAGACAGATGTTAATAGCTCAAATAATTTCCTCTTATTTTCTTCAGACAAGATGTCTTCAAACACAATAGATCATGACTGTTTAATAAGCTGGTAACAAGTTGTTCCATCTCTCAAGGAACTTGGAACAGCACTGAAAATAATTTTGCCAGTACCTTGCAAGTCTCTTGATATCTGGCTGGTGACAAAAACATTTTTAGTTCATGCAACTCACTTCACCTGTATCCCTTGTCTCAAGCTTAGCTTCAGAAGGGACACAACATTTCTTTTATTTGCAAGTCAGGCTGTCTTACCCTGCACAAGTGTTCTGCACCACATACGGAACCATACATAGCAAAAATGCATCAAATTCATTTTGCAGTTCAAGTTCTTAAGTTATCCCCAAATCCTTCTGCTCCACTTATTTAACAAAGTAACATATGTTACATACACAACATAAATAGTTGTCATTGTTAAACTGACCTGTGTTTACAAGCATTTACCCACAAACTATGTAGGGGACTTTTACATATGTATCAGGAGCTCATCACTTTTTTAGTGAACTCAGCATTCAACCATGAAGAACGTTAATCTACGAAAGTCTTCTCTGTAAAGAGCTGTAAACCAGCCTGTCATGCTAGGTCACGGATGGTTCTGAACTCCCAGCCACCACCATCACCAGCACGCAGAGTGTAGAATGAGGCGCCTCAGAGTTAGAGACTTCTCCATACAGCAGCACAATACCAGGCTGACGAGAGATGGGAAGCTGCTATCCAGAGACTTGGCAAAATCTGAGTTTCATGATGCCTTTGACAAGCACAACCGAGTCCCTGTTGGGAACTTGCTTAACCACAGCCTTGCTGAAGTAGCTAAACCTTGTTAAGTCCCCAGATAAAGCAGCCATCTCTATGTGGCAGATGGAGAATCTGTGTTAAGATGACACCAACCTATCAAAGAGCTTTACTCATCTGCCTGCTGTACTGTTCCTTTCTCGGAGACATAGATACCATCCAGGAACTTCCTGATATCCTTGTTCTTGACTGTTGTGGCTTGCTGGATCAAGGCAGCTGCAGACAAAGCAAGACCATCAGCACAAAGCAAGAAGCCCAAGCCAACTCATAGTCTCTGATTCTCTCCAGCATTTCAACTAATGAATGAATCTCATCTGAAATCAACCTGAAATCACATCAGTTCTAATGAAAATAGAATGAGTTTCACTGAGCCCACCCTGGCAGCTCAGGGCAGCAACAGTTTATGATTGCATGCTTGTGCAACTGGAAGCCTGAAATGTCAGATGCCATAAAGGTCACCAATACTGACTCAACAAAATAAACTTCTGTGGACTTGTAAAAATACCTTTAAGCTTAGAAAAAGCACAAATAAATGTGAAAAGCAATTACCATGACTAGAGGGGAAAAAAAAAAAAAAAACAACAAAAACACACTAAATTGAGCTGGTTTTTATCTCAGGGTTTGAGAAAAATGACAGCGGCAGTTTGCTAGCTGACATCTTCAGATAAAAGCAGCCATATCATTCTCTCTGCCTGTGCATCTACTTCACACACCTGAATTGGAAACCAATTCAATGTCATTTCCTTCAAGGATCAGCTCATCTTTCTGGGCTTGAGATACTGCACAGGAAACACCTACAGAAAGGAAAACAAAGATCTTCATTGTTGGTGAAGATGTTCACTGCCCTAAAGAAACAATACTTGTGTCCTGTCCCAATTTACATATCCAGAAAGCAGTATCCTAGATATTAATTAGCTTACACAATTTTCTGAGTCTTCCAAAGGCCTTCCAGAACTGTCCTCCCTCAGAGTGTCAGAAATCAAAGATTAGTTGAAGTGATGCTCTACATTAAAAGCAAGTAAGTGATGCTCCTACTCAGATGTTACAGCATTGATCACCAACCCTGGGCTTTTGGCCAGCACAGCTCTGTCAGCTAGGTGGTGCCATCTTCCACCTTCTCATGTTCGTTAAGGTAAAACTGGAGTCACTCCATCAAGAGTCATAAAATAGAAAGCCCCATCCCCTGACAGGTCAAGCGCCATGCTTATACCAGCAGTGCACCCGATATAAGGGGCAGACACCAGGACACAAGAATCTAGCAGCAACCTTTTGTTTGCAAGGATACTAACACAAGGAAGTGTTTACAGTTTGCTCTATCAGCACTTCACTATCTTTGAAGTAAATCCCAACTTAAAAAAAATCAAATGCAATAATCAAACCCACCCTTAAATATCCCACAGGAAATTAAAGTCAAAGCCACTGTCAGTAACTCCACACTATCTGCTAGAGGTTTTGGACAAGTCCAATGCTTTCACACTAAATATCCATACCTGTATCTTCACCAAAAGGGGAACAATCAAAAAAAAATGGATATGTAAAGTCTTACTACAGTCTTTAACTGCATTTATGACACGTCTCCTTCTTTCAGAAGTTTAACAAGCCAAATCAAATGTTTACTGTTACGGCATTTTACTAACACTTCAAGCCTGTAAGATGTAAAACCAGCAAGTAAGATGGTCATTTTGAAGTTTATCACACACACTTCTAAACAATCAGGAAGTTCAAAATACAACACCACTTCAAAGACCAAAAATAGGATGCAGTGGTAAAAACATACAATCTATTTGATATATGTGATATGTACGTTGTATCACATACAATGTTTAAAACAGCAACAGAAATCTAAAATCGAGCGCTTCCAGCTTACCAACTACAAACACTGGCAAGATGTCACCACCATGAAAGTAAACACTGGGCTCCTTCTAGCAGTAACTAGCTCCAACCTAGTTATTAGTTGGCAACCATTACTAAAAATAACTTTGAAAAGCATTACTAACTCTAAATTGAAACAGTGGCAAAGGTATCACAAGACGACAACCTCCAGGAGGCAAATGCTGCTTGGGCAGCGACCCCCCATCTCCTGTGTCGGCGGCAGTCCCCAGGAGACCAGCCCGAGCTCACCTGGCCGCATGCGCACCCTGCGGATGTACTTCTCCCCCAGGAAGTTCCGGATCTCCACCAGCGACCCGTTCTCCTGTATGACCACGTTGATGGGGAAGTGCGCGTACACCGACCGCATCTTGTAACGGAAGCCCTGCGACAGAGGACACCGGCAGGCGCTCAGAGCACAGCACACCCAGAAGCTGAAACAGAGGTGTTACACACCAAAAACGAGGGCAAGACACGGAGCCCAGGAGACGTGCTTTCTTCTGCCAGCAGAACTTGTCTGACAGCAAGCGCAGGGAAAGAAACATAGCAAGAAAGCTACCACTTGGATGCTCAGAAAAGCGCTATCTGAGGCAAAAAGCTCTTTATTGTTGTACCAAACCGGACAGTGGTTATGCCATTCCAGAATACAACTCACCAGCGTGACACCCTTTATCATGTTCTGTACATGGCTGCAAATGGTGCGAACTGTTGCCAGCTCCTTTCTGTTACCCCACCACTTGTCAACACGCAGCTGAGTTAAAGAAAACAAGGCAAATTAACAAAGCTTTCCCCTACGCTTCACAGCTAGAAACTAAACATTTCTAGGACAAGCTGAGAGTGAGAAGTTCAGGAAAACTACTTAAAAAGTCATCCTAACAGAAGCACAAAGGTATTCTTTGAAAGACTATTACATTACAGGTCCACCTAGCTCAAGCCTTCCAAGTCCTAACCCCAAGGTGTACGTGCATTTTCTTCCTCATGTCTCACAAGTTTTCCAAGAAGCCAGCAAAGATATTCGCACATCTTCAGCTGAAAGACTTTCTATCAAATGCTAAGCACTGGACAGGGTGTTATAAAGTCAGTCGCCCACACATCATTGGTCAACTTTTTAACAAAATGCTGCATGTGGGTCCAGCATTTTAATGAAACACTAGGTGCTCACGAGAAAGCAGCTGAGATCAGCCACTCTTCCTGACTCAACTTCCCAGTGCTGGAAATTAAGCATAGAGATTTAGTTTCATACAGCTAAAACTAGTCAGTTTATAAAACACAGCATATAATAATCAATCCTTTCTCTAATAAACATCTGACCATCACTAGAAAACAAAATCAATCAACTAATTCACTAAAACATATCACAGAACTTCCAACAATCCCACAGTTCCCAAGTAAGTCCCAAAGTTCTAGGAGCCCAGGCTTTTTCAGACAACACAAGAAAAAAGCGAAGAACGAAGTGACCTACCCACAGATAACAAGACCAGCTACAAGTTTGGACTCGATCTCCTACACCACCACCAAGTTTTAAAACCAGCTGTAAAGCCACCCTGCGTCTCTGCAGCGCTCACCTTCTTGTGCTTCTTTCCCAGGAGGGACAGCTCCACGTTGATGTGGTTAAAATCCCGCCGCAGGGTGCCCCTGGGGCCCTTGACAATGACGGTCCGGCCCTTCAGCGAGACGCTGACTGCAAATCAGAGGCAGACGCACGTTACCCGGTGGCGGAGGCAACGCCGCCGGACGCCCTCGGACCGCGCTGGCGGACGTACCTTGCTCGGGGATGTCCACGGTCTGGTTGCTGAGGATGGTCTTCATCCTGCAAAGGACA